AGATTTGGCAATGTCCTCTGGTTTTCATCTTGACTAATCCATGGGAAAAACTAGTTTGCTGTAAACCGCTGTGCAAATTTGAGATTAGATTATTGGCATTTCAGATTAACCAATGTTATGTATTTAACCAGTATGTTCTGTTTAATACAGCAAAAAGGTGCAGTTATGAAACATATCCCCCTTAAGTAGATAGAAGTACTTGGTTGTGCCTTCATAGATATTACAAAGGAAAACAACAAGCAGATAGATTACATGTTGTTGCGCGACGACAACATCCATGATGAGTTCCATTACCACGTGCATAACTAACTTACTTCAGTTATAAATCACACTCCTAATTAGAATTAATTCAACAGAAATAAAAATAGATGACCCGGCCTCACTAATTGCTTGGAGCCAGAAACGGCCCACCATCTGCATATCTAGCCCATAATTAGAATTGGTTTCCCAGAAAAGAAAAATTGCTTACAAGATTCCTGTTTAAGTGACAAAATAAATGAAAATAAGCACGCAACTTACAATACTACAACACATGAGCAATAATTACTTCATATTGGAAAATAATGAAAAGTTCGATGTGCTTGTGTATACGATAAACTTATGATCAGTTTAGATTTTTTGATTATGATGATGTTCATCTTAAACCTTTTTGTATACGGATATGAGTGACTCCATAGTCAAAATTCTTTCTTACAACTAGTAGTAATTAGAACTGATGATTTGGTTTGCGTCAAATGACGTTTGTAGTTAGGCTCTTACGGTTTTGATGGTTTCTCGATCGTTACGCTCCTATTGTTTTGCCTGTCACTCCATGGTTGAACAAAAGAGCTAAACTTCAAGCTCCATTGTTCACTTTGACGTGGACTTGCTGACGTCTCCCAAGTCCACTTTGCCATTGATTAATGATTATTACCGAAAATAATTTCCCTCCAAAAAGCGCCTCTGTCTCAGTCTCACTCTATACATTCCCTTTCTATATAAAATCTGTAAGGAACCAGAGGTGGGGTTGTTCGGATAGAGGAAGAGGTATTGCAGACCCTAGGAGAGAGGGCAGAATTTAGGAACAGGAGAAGAAGAGATTGTAGAGGAGAGGAAGAGAGAGAATTCAAGAATGAGATTTCTTAACAATATTCATGTGCCATTTGATTACAATTTCCTATATTTAAGGACAAAAGGAATCAATCCTTGCATCGGTTATTTCTTCTAGAATGCTTTCTAACGAAATTTTGTTAAGGCTGTAGAAAATAACAAACGAGGGAAAATTTGATTATGACTAAATAGATCGTTCTACCATTTAGTTAAACACACTCTTTGCTTGTCGTTTTGAGCTTGTCACGCTTTTTAACCAAAACACAACACGAGCGGTCGTTTTGGGCTCCCGACAACCCATCCCCCCGAAAATCATCATTGACCTCACGAGATGAATTTGAAAATTTGGGAACCGGTGCGATATGAAATCGAATCCTCCCATGTCACATTCTCCATTCCCAAACCTTTCCACAAGATTAACCATTTCACCCCGACTTAATTCCCCTTCTTATACAGACCTTTGATCTAACACCTTCTCCGGTGTGTATGCTTCTTCCTTGTTGAAATCCTCCATAGGTGGCGAGTTGTGGAGATAATTTGGCTAGACCCTATCTTTTTCTTGAGTAAAGATACATGAAAAATGGGGTGTATGGAGCTTTTCTCTGGAAGTTCCAAGTGATAGGCCACCTTTCCAACCTTCATCCTAACTATGTACGGGCCATAGAATCCGACACTCAACTTATGGTTCGTATGCTTAGCCACCGAGGATTGTTGGTATGGCTACGGCTTGAGGTAAACCATGTCTCCCTATTTGAAAGTTCTTTCCACCCTCTTTTTGTCCGCTTGAGCCTTCATGCGGTCTTGGGCTTTCAACAACTCGTTGCTCGACTAATTTCAACATTTCTTCCCTTTCCTGCGAGTGTGACTTTGCTCGCTGCAACCTTGGGGGTTTACTCAAATGCCGTCGAGTGAGATGGGGGTTTGAAGCCATAAAGGGCTTCGAATGGGGTGCTTTTCAACTAGCTCGTGGTAAGTGGTGATGTGCCATCACTCGGCCAAATACAACCATTTGCTCCACGCTCGGGGCTTATGGAAGGTCATGCATCCGAGATAATTTTCCAAGCATTGATTTACCCTTTTGTTTATGGGTGGTGGGTCGTGCTTAGCAATAGAGTAGTTCCCAATTGCTTGAACAACTCTTACCAAAATTGACATATAAAGATGGGGTCTCCGTCCGAGACTATAGTGTCGTGGAGGCCATACAATTTGTAGATATTTTGTAAGAAGTGCTAAGCCACTCATTCTTGCAGGTATAGGGGTGAGTGAGGGTAGTAAATTGGTTATACTTAGTGAATCGATCCACCACTACCATTATAGCATGTTTTTCTTCGAGAGGGGCAAACCTTTAATAAAGTCCATACTAGCATGTTTCTAAGCTTCCATAGGAACTAGTCGAGGTTCGTAGTAGGCCAAGATATGAAACTTTTTCAGCCTTGCATCGTTGACACATTTCACACTTCACACTCCCTTACTTCTCTTTTAATTTCTTGTTTCAACCCCGGCCAATAGAATAATTGTTTAGCTTGATAGTAAGTAGCTTTGAATCCCGAATACCCTTCATTAGGTGATGAGTGCAAATCCTTAAGAATTTTCCGTTTGAGCTCCCCGTATTATCGACACACAACCTACTCTTGCACCTCAACGGACCCCAATTGTAAAAGTAGTTTGGAGGTAACCTTCTTGACTTTTGTGATGCTACAATTACCTTCCGGACTATGACATCCCCCTCTGTTTGACTTCATTTAGCCACTTGTGGTTCAATTATCGTGATGGTTGCTAGGGCGGCATTGTCTTGCTTTTCCTCATGCGAGTCTGGATAATGCATTAGCTGTAACATTCTCCCTCCCTTTCTTGTATGCTATATGATAGCTAAGGCTTAGTAGTTTGGTGAGACTCTTCTTCCTAAGTAATGCCTCAATTTGTCTACTGCTTGTGAGGATATCTAAGAGTCCTTTCTCATAGGTTGATAGGCCTTGATTCTTTGAACATAAGGCCTTGTTGAAATAGGCTATAGGCCTCTTCTCTTGTATTAGGACATCATTTATGCCTGTGTCATAAGCATCTATCTCAAGGATAAATGTCTCCTTGAAGTTAGGTAATGCCAATACTGGAGCTGAACACATAGCCTCTTTGAGTTTGACAAAGGTTCGTGTGGCTTCCTCCCCCATTTGAATGCATATTTCTTTAGTAGATTGGTCAATGGTCCGTTGATACTCCCATAATTTCGATAAACCTTCTATAGTAGCCGATGAGTCCTAGAAACCCCCTTAGTGACTTGAGGTTACTTGGTAGTGGCCACTCTCTCATGGCATGAACCTTAGAGGGTCTATTGCTACCCCTCCCTTATTATTATGTAACCCAAATACTCCACTTGTTCCACTCCAAACGAACAATTGGATCGTTTAGCATAGAATAGGTGCTACTTGTAATGTTTGTAGCACATCCACGAGGTAGTCTAGATGTGTCTCTAAGCTATCACTCGTAGATAAGTATATCATCAAAGAAAATTAATTCGAATCTCCTTAGATAATCAGCAAACACTTGGTTCATCAATGCTTGAAAAGTGGTCGGTGCATTGGTGAGCCCAAAGGGCATAACCTTGAACTCATAATGGCCTTGGTGAGTTCCGAATGCTCGTCTTTAGGACGTCTTCCTTGGCCATCCCGATCCGGTGGTATCCGGACCTAAGATCAATCTTAGAGAAGATTACTTGCTCCATTTATCTTATGCATTAAGTCTTCTACTAAGGGAATGGGGAATTTATCCTTAACGGTAACGTCATTCGGCTCCCTATAATCCATACAAAACCTCCAGGACCTATCCTTTTTTTGGCTAACGAGCATTGGTAAAGCAAAAGGGGAATGGCTAGATTGGATTATGGAAGCTTGTAACATCTCTTTCACCAGCTTCTCTACTTCGTTTTTTGGAAATAGGGGTACCTATACGGTCTCAAGTTGATCGGTTTAGTGTTTGGTTTCAAGGGAATGGTGTGATCCGAGGCTTGGTGAGGTGGCGAGTACCCTTGGTTCTTCAAAGATATCTTGGTACTCATCTAAGAGAGAATTAAGGTACTTATGTGTTTCTCCCCCTTCTCCTCACAAATCATCATGAACATGTGGCTAGTGATCCCCTTCATCCATTGTTTAAAAAGTTTTTGCACTCCTTTTCTCTTTAGTAAACTCGTAAGACCCTTCTCCTTTTTCAGCCTTCAAGGTGATTTTCTCATTCCCTAGTGTATGGTGACTTCTCTAGTTTTAAGGTCAAAATGTATAGGATTGTAGCTTTCCATCCAATCTAGACCCAACACCATATCACACCCTCCTAAGTCGAGCACCCCTAAGTTAGCCATATATTCTCTTCCTTGCATCACCCATTAAAACTCCCTACACCTAGACTCACTCTTCATTCTAGCCCCATTAGCTACCATCATCGTCAATGGGCTAGTTTGCATGGTTTAAAGCTTTAACTCTCTCACAAGCCCTTTATCAATAAAGCTATTAGTACTTATTACTATCAATCAAAATACTAATACCCTTTTTTCCTATGTACCCTTTAATTTTGAAAGGATTAGGAGAAGCCTTACCACTTAAGGCATGTAAGGAAATGCCACTATCAACCTCATCCACTAACTCCTCCTCCATTGCGGGTTGTTTTTCTTCAACTCTTACATCGTCCTATAGCTTGCCTCGCTCCATTTCTTCGAGCATCATGTGCAACAATTGTTTTAATTTGAACTGGTTTCCTGGGAAGTATTTATCCCCATATTTAAAGCATTTTCCATGTTCTCTCCTCACTTTATTCTTGTTATATGGCTTGTTATGGTATTTTCTTTGTGACTAGTAGGGTTGGTTTCGTTGAAAGTTTGGGTTGGGTATGTTGGTTTTGGAATAATGGTGGTAGCTTGGGTAGGTCTATGAGATTGGGAGTGGTGTATGTTGGGTGGTTTTTTTGGATTGTGTGGTTTTTCTTAAGGCCTTATTGAGCTTGGCTTGCTCAAATGCTTCCTTGAGGTCCACGGGTTTGAATCTCTTCATTGCTAGGCGGAGGTCTCTCTTTAGTCCCCCTATGAAGACCTTGATTAGATACCCTTCCGTGAAGCTCGTGTTCATCTTTTTTACCAATGATTTTACGTCCTTAAACCTCTCTTGGTACTCTTCTATAATTCCAGTTTATTGAGGCCTATGAAACTCTTATATCACAATTGTTTCTTCTTTCTCACCAAATCTCCTATATAGATCCTCCATAAATTCCTCCCGGACCATCCTACTCGTATCCTCCTTCCATTCTTGAAACCATATGTTAGGCTTGACATCCAAGAACATAGCAGCGAGTCTCCACTTTAGCCTCCTCCCCGACTTGATATACTTGAAACACCTTTTGGCATTTTTTAGCCCATGGCTTGGGGTTAGTTCCATTAAAATACTAGAACTCCATCTTTGGCCATAGCTGGTTCGGTGCTTGGTGATGGGCCGAGTGGTCTAAGTTGATTATGTTGTCTTGGTTAAGGTTTTGGTAAGCGGCGTTGTGTCTAGTATGAGGTGAGTGAATGTCCATAAGTGTGGGTAAGATTCCCTTCCTTGTGTCTATGGTATGAATGGATGAACTGCTAGCTCCTTTGATCCCCCTAAATTGGCGGGATGAGAAGCTCTCATAGCTTCTACCAAACCTTATATGGCTTGTTGAGTTTGGTTCCACATTTATTTATTTTCGTCCTAGTGTTTTTGAGCATTAGTTTAGATTTTTGCTACATCGACTTGTAGGGATTGCGAGTTGGCCCTCAAGGTTTTTGACTTGTTCATCTAAGGTTTTTAGTTTGGTACCTTCGACCATGGTGCGGAAGAGCTCGATACCACTTGTAAGGAACCGGAGGTGGGGTTGTTCGGATAGAGGGAGAAGTATTGTAGACCCCGGCAGAGAGGGCAGAATTTAGGAACAAGAGGAGAAGAGATTACAAAGAAGAGGAAGAGAGAGAATTCGAGAATGAGATTTCTTAACAATATTCATATGCCATTTGAATAAGGACACAAGGAATCAATCCTTGCACCAATTATTTCTTCTAGAATGCTTCTTAACAGAATTCTGTTAAGGCTGTAGAAAATAACAAACGAGGAAAAATTTAATTATGACTAAATAGACTATTCTATCCTTTAGTTAAACACACTCCTTGCTGCCGTTTTGAGCTTGACACCCTTCTTAACCGAAACACAACATAGGTGGTTGTTTTGGGCTCCCGACAAAATCTCAACAAATCAATATCTCTGTCCAAAAATTTCTATTTGATTTCGATCAGACTCTATAATTTCAAGATTAGTATAAGAAATAAGTAATAAAGCTCCATTTTTCTTTTTTTACGACTGATAGTTTCTTGGTACGTAATCTTGATTATCTTCCTGATCTTCCCGTAATTATCAATGTTTATGACTTCAGCTTTTTTGATTATCTTGTTCTTGTCATTATTTATGATTTTCTGTTTCTTTCTCTTTTATAATGCAAACCTAAATTTCAGATTCTTAGTTACCAAACAGATATTAAAAACTTACGTTACACCCCTGTTTGTCCTGTTTGGTTCTTGAAAAAACACCGAGAAAAAAAAATCGAGTTCAATCTTCTTTCTATTGTTTTTCGTTTCTTGAATTTCACATAGTAATGATATTTTGTTTTTCTGTTTGGCTATTTGTGAGAAAAAAAGAGAAGGAAAATGAAAAGTAGCTTGCAAAAAAAATCTTGTTTTAATCAACTAAATAATATTTCCGACTTGTACTTTTTATTTTATTTTATTTTTAATTTTGGGAGAGACGATTTTATTTAGTCAATTCCTGATAAATGATGAAATTTTCTGGGCTTTCAATCAGATTAAAAGATTTCCTAATAAGTTTTTCTTGTACATTTTGACAGACTTGAAAATTAAAAAGCAAATGGTGAAAAACCTGGAGTTCGAAAACGATGATTTGCCTTCTTCCCTGAGTTCCATTGCTCCTATGCTCTGAATTGCTATAGAGATGGAACAGGACAGCCCTCGCATTACGTATTTTTGTAAATACATGTTCTCTTCCTTTTCCTTTTCTTTTTTCTTCGTTGATTTATATGACTTTTTTCCTATTATTTGAGTCATTTATAGGTGGGTTATGTGCATTTACAAAATCAGCTCAGTGAGATCCTTGCATGATTGGGATTGGTGTAAAAGATTACAAGAGCAATTTGCTACAAACATTGGTGAGGGTAAGCATCGCTTTAGGTTCATGTTTAGATGTGATTTGTTGAGAGGAGTTTTTTTTCTCGATAATTTTTGCGGTTGTTACTTGATATTCCTCGTTCAGATTTGATGAAAAGTGCCAAAAATTGGACCTTTTGAGACTTGAATGCTGTTATATGTAACTGTGTTAACTCCTATGAATCCATTTGACTTAGGACAACGCAACTAGTCTTGCAGCTCGCGTTAAAAAGACTGACTTGTGGGAAATGGATAGCTTTTATCAGAAGTACTATGATTGCCATGTTGGAGCACAAGACCAGGGAAAGCAGGCAGAAAGGTTAGTACAAGAATGTAATTTCGTTCTATTTATTCTGTTTCATATTTTGTTTAAGGAGACAGGTATTCAAAGCTCATCAAGTTGTGTTGATGGACAATTTGAATCCAATTCTTCATAGAGCCCAACTTGGCAAAGCCTATCAGACAGCAGCAGTTCTTTTTGAAGTGCTGTGTTGGATTAACAACACGGAGAAATATGAAAAAGTTGCTTTCATGGTAAATTCGATTCACAATCTTCCATTTAAGGTTGTTGTGCAAGAGGAAATTATGATGCATGTATAATTTTCGATCTGCAATTCTGATTGTTTAGTGGACTAAGGACATTTCTGCATCACTCGACATTCACTCCCTCCTCTCCACTGAGGCTTTACTGCCCATCAAGCCACTTGACGATGTAACACATTTCCATATCCTTCTGCTTCTGTGAATTGCCTGAGGGTTCTTGTCTCCTGGTAATTAGTTTGATATGCCGCTAAAGATCTTGTTTTTATGAAAATCAGGTCAGTGCTGCTTTTGCTGTGCTGAGGAACACTCATGGCTTGAACTGGCTTAAATACAATCAAAATACTGGGGAGTTAGACCTTCTTGGTTGGCTAGGGACCGTCTTTGGATTCCAGGTATACATTTCCAAATAAAAGTACTAAAAAGGATATAAAAATCAATAGCTTGGAATTATTTTTATTATCCTGAATAATTTATCAAGGTGCACATGTATCTGGTAAATGCAGAGAGAATGTCAGGAACCAGAGGAACCATCTTACTTCATTACTTTCAAGTGTCATGTAAGGCTTGATCCCAATCCTGATTCTCTTGACAAGACAAGTGCTACTCTTTCATTTTTTTTAGTAATATTAATTTTTGCAATATCATGTGATTATCCTTATTCCAACCTGCTACATTGTCACACAATCTAAGCTAAAGGTGTATTAAATAAATATAGTGTTGAATCTACAGTTTGGAGCTGCAGTGAATGTGTGCGTGTGGTAATGCTTACTGTTGAACTTATGAACAGCTTGTCAAACTTCCTAGTCTGTTTTCATTTCTGAATTACGTCTTATTGCCCTGAACACATTTGATAGGAGCAACTTTTTACTGAACAAATTGTTTTTCCCAGCTCCTTGAAAGGGTCTTGATGCAATTATGAACAAGCTTTTCAAGAATTATATATAAAGCACGGCGTAAACTGTGAAGTCAAGATCACAGTCTGCAGTAGGCCAGAGGACTTCTTTTTGTTCTTTGCATAATTGAATTCTAATTAAAGCTTCTTAAGCATAGCATATAACTTGTAACATTTAATTTACTACGTAGGCTTCCTGAAGAACCCTAAAAACTTCAGCAGACAAAGATACTTTATAACAACTTCAGCAGACGAAGGTACTTTACATTGGCCTGTATCTTCTCATATGGGGTGAAGCAGCTAACGTTAGGTTCATGCCAGATTGCATACTTACGCGCCATTTTTAAGTATGTAAGAAATCGTGATTGTGTAATGACTCTCTTATTCACTGATTCCTAGTCTACATTTTGTTCTGTTATCTTAAGAGTCTCGAAAGATTCTTTTCATATAAGCTCAGATGGCACGTGAGCTCCAAGACCTGTTGTCTTGCACTGCCAGCATTGCCTCTGTTGAAATTGTGAAGCCTTATTATCGTGGAGGTGATGAGGCATTTCTGAGGAAGGTTATAACACCACTTTACCATGCAGTTGAAATGGTGTGGTTTAGAACAAATGTGCATGCTATTATCAAACCTTAAATTCTTTAGCTATAAATATTCAATAAAGATTGTTCTTTATTATTCAAGAAAGCCTGTGAAATCGAACCTGAAAATGCTTCAAACCTGGAAGGATGTTATTATGAAGATCTAAATTAGTATTTCAAGTTAGTGTGAATTTAAATATTAGAAATCAAATTAAGAATTATTACCTTACTAGTTCTTGAATTGCTTCATCTGATCAATACTTGTTTTTGCTATATCCTATGTAGGTCCTCTGATTGTATCTATCTCGGTTGGCCTATTCATGATGCCAGAATTCTTTTCAAATCAACACATAATGTGCCAGAGGAACCTCCTTTTTCTAAGCAGGTTTCAACACTGAATGCTTAATTTGATTTATTTGGTCTCTGCTTAATGTGATTACTGGTCCTAGTAAGAAAGGCTTCTACAAGAAAATCTAGCAAAATCATTTTTTGTTGAAATCCGAACCTTTTGGACATCATTCATAATTTTGACAGATCCCTAAGGACTTTTTCCTGATTCATTTTCTGTAATTGATGAATTCCAGAAAGCAGAGTAAGTATGTTTTTTGAAGTTTGAACTGATCCCAATTTCCTTACAGAGCACCACTCAGAAAAGAATATTAAAGACCAGTTCTCTTAAATGGTTTGAACAGTTGACAAGATGGAGGACTTCTTCCAAGGTTACTCCCCTTTCTTGTGTGTCCCATTTTAGTTTGTTGTGCAAGATTCACAAAAATCCTTGAACAAATATTTTGCACGTTAAATTAGCTAACATAGTTTCTTTTCCTTTTTTCTTTTCTTTTTCACTTTATTTTCAAACAGACTGGTAAGAAATTTAGTTGTCTTTGTATATTATACCTATGAATAAAAAAGTGTAGATAACTAAAAGCTTTTTGGAAACTTATTTTCCATTTCGCTGTTATATACCTCGTGAATGTTGAGCAAATGACAATATGCATGGCCAAAATATGGTGATGGGAGAGGAAGGACTTGAGAACAGTTGCCAAGCTCAACAGCAAAGATTCACATTTCTATACCATTTTGTGTTCATCGTGAACTTTGTGCTTAGCCTTAGTTCTAGATTTCTGTCGCAACAAAATATATTGCACATGGGATCTTCGAAATTGACAGATATAATGCAATTCAAAGCTATAGTCCTCTTGGCCTTGATATGTAGTAGTTAGTATACTTTTTTTCCATGAAAAATGAAATGGATTAAACATTTTATTCTTATTCATCTGAATTCAGATTTTCTTACATTCCTGAGAACCTTTCTTATCTCAACGTCCTATAGAAATGCAAGAAAAAAAACAAAGGCTAGCGTTAATCACAAGCTAAACAAACAATCAACCCTTGAGGGAAAAGGCAGTACTTCTTTTGAAGTAAATGGAGTCCTTGATCTCCTTATTCATACACTTGGTCTTAGAGATGTCTGAGACAGGATGAATCAACAACTCGGTAATTTAGGGTGACCCGGCAATGCAGAGCCACTGTCCTACGAAGAGATCAGTACAGTTGAGATTGGGGTTTATAGCATCAAATAATGCAGTTGTCAAATTGAATGACTGTGCAATGTCAAAGCAAGTGTCTCCACTTTCTACTCCAATCACTTCATCACACTCTGCGGTCCTTTTGGCGAAGAAACCAGCTGCTGCTCTTTAGATATTGTTTAACATTTGAAAGAAAATGAAGTCAATACATTTCATGAAAACGTAAGTTAATCTTTACTAAGAATTATCAGAAAGAAAGTAATGCTATCAAAGGTACTTACTGCCAAGAATGCGGCTTTCAGCCGTTGAGATAATGAGGAGAAGAGAGAGCATCAGAATTGAGCCAAAAAACAAGGTAGATTTGTTGTTTCCCTTGACCATTTTAAGGAATATGCGTTCTCTTTCCTTCACAAGTGGATGTTCAGTTTATACTTCTCTGTTTTGTGGGATGTGAATTCTCATAACTTCCACTTCTATTTATACTACAATGTTCCGTTGTTAATTGATGAAACCAAGAAATAAAGCCAATATTCCTTGTTATTTTAGTTCTCAAAACGGGCCGGGGTCGGCTTTCATAAAATCCTTGTGATTCTAATTGATGAAACCAAGAAATAAAGCCAATAATCCAATGTTTCAACCTTCAAATAGCTCATGCAATGGACGTTAAAAGATCAACTCCCTACTACATCACGTTGATGCCTTAATCATAGTGTTTCAAATGGAATGATGCTAATAATTATTAATTAATGCGATAAGTAAAGAATAATATTACTTTTCATTTAAATTGTAAACTTTTTCTTTTTACCATTTTCAACTTTTTTTTCCTTCAATCAAGCTTGTAAAGGTAAGTCGATAATATTCTTATCAATTTTGATACTCAAGTGGCTAACGTTCAAGCTAAATTGTTGGATGCATTTGACCCAAATTAAGGCACTAGCTTTGTGTTGGATCAGTTCATGTCGAAACAACCAGTCCAATTTTTCAATTTTTCAATTTCTTCATGTTGCTTTTTTTGGTTTTAGCATTAATGATATAAGTGGGCTAGCTTTTGTGCACAAGACTAAATCCTTCTTCCATCGAGTCTTTATCTTTCAGATTGTATTGAAAATGCACACCTGTGTATCCTGATTATCCAGACCTCATCAATTCAGCTAGCTGACATTCTAAAAATCCTTAGGAAATCAGGAATCCTTTTCTAATCAGGACCGCATTTGTCAACCGATATTCTATGCTTATAAATTGAGAAACAGACTCATAACTTTGTACGCTATCCCTACGTACCTACAAGACACACACTCTACATCAGTTTTTTTTGTTTTGTTTGCAAACCCTACTGTCCTTCTTTCTCTCTGAACTAAACATGGCTACTCCCATCAATTACCACTTTTTTATCAATTTAAAACCCAAAAGAAATCAAGAATCACAACATATCAATATTAACCAACCAACACAACAGGTAGCAACAACGTTCCCAGTGAACTTCTTGCTTTACAAGTAATAGGTTTCGATTTACCCTCCTCTTAGAATGGCGTTCTCTGTAACAGATAGAAGACTTGAGCTCGTAAGCCATAAAATTATTCACATTCCGGTTGGAGATTCAACTGCACCATCACATTAAAGATTTCAAAGAGATATTGAACAACATGGGAATCCCTGGAATCATGTCATCAGATATACTATTCAAAATTGCAACTAAGGCGCGTGGCATGGATACTTGTAATGGTGTGTTCTTGACTGTCGGAGTAGTGGAGACGATCTATCAAGAAATTAGAATTCATAATGAAGAAGATGATATTTCTAGAGCTGAGAGAGAGTCAATGGAGGTTGAGGCAAAGCCAATCCCGGCCACCAAGTCATCTATTGATGCATTGGAAAGAGTGGTTTTTGACGGTTCGAGGTCGGCGAGAGATTGCACTGTTTGTATGGAAGATATTGAGGCAGGGAGTGAAGCAATTCGGATGCCGTGCTCGCATGTTTATCATTCAGAATGCATTGTCCAGTGGTTGCAGACTAGCCACTTGTGTCCGCTTTGCCGCTATCATATGCCCTGTGAATTCTAATACTAGCTTTTCTTTATCTGTTTTAGTTTTTAGGCTACCTTTTAGTAGGATATGATGGATTGAATTATTCATCTATATTTTATAATTGGTCAATTGAAAATAAAGCCGCCAATTAAAAGACTAGAGAGCAGTATGTTGAGATTGCTTGATAGATTAATCAAAGAATCAGTTTTCAAATGAATTAACTGTAATGAAATTGCTGGTGTCTCCACTTCTTACTCGAAACACTCATCACATTCTGGAGTTTTGGGCTTCAAGAAACCACCTGATACTGCTCAATTCTCGTCATTGTTTGAAAGAAAATTATGTCTACAAATATCTTAGATTGCAATGTAATGCATATATGATTAATTTAAAGCTTATTGTACTAAAAAATCACAAGCTTTATATTTTTTAATCATATTAGCATGTTTTTTTTTTTTAATGTTGGATAGAAAAGAGATGAACTAAGGCTCGGAAAATATCTTAACATGCATGAATTTTTTCGACTTAAATTTCGTTTTCAATCGGCTTGGCATGAGAGATAGGATGACAAGCATGACATACATACCATGTAAGATTCCACGCTAGCCAAACAGACCCTAATCGGTATCCCAAACTTGCCAAACCCGCCAAAATCGGACTCGTGAAGTCCACTTTTCAGCCAAATCAAAGGCCGAAGCCACAATAGAACCGCTCTTCACACCTCCATAAACCTTTCCTAACTAGTTAGAGTGGAGGAAAATGCTAGAGTAAGCCTAAAAGAAGGGTTGACGGTCGCGAAACCCGACCTAAGAGTTTTTTTTTGTTCTAGGAGTTGATTGAGATGAGTTTTGAGTCTTGGAAGCCATTAAATCGAGCCAAAATTGATTAAAGAAGAAAGATGAGAACATAACGATTGACGAGTCATGATTTGTGAGTTGTTTTCGTCCTTCTCCCGAATTTTTTCGTCACTATGATAGGGGTAGAGTGACTCGCTGGAATGTCGATGCATTTTTCTATCTAGGTTTTAGCCTCCGATTTAGCTAGCAAGTGGCTGATTTGAGAGGTAAATCCACTATCGAGTTAGGTGGCTTTGGTAGGTCGGTGAGTTTAGGTTGCGGGTTAGGGTCTCTTTGGTTGGCGTAGAATCCTATGTGCAATCTTATGTGACATTTATGCTTTTTTGCCATCCCGTCTCCCATGTACATTAGCTAAAAATGAAATTTAAGCAAAAAAAATTCATACGTGCTAATGTAGTTATCGAAACTTAGTTCATGTATTTTCTGTCTTACTTTGAAGGAATATGCTAATATAATTAAAAAATATATAGTTCACAATTTTTTTGATATAATAAGCCTTAATTTAATCAATTATTTACCATCAAGAAAATGGCTTCTAGTCATATGGATAGAGATAATGAGGAAAAAAGGGAGTAACAGGTGTTGTGCTAAAACAAGGTTGATGGTGATTCTGTTGTGCCTATTATTTTCTATTGCAATATTGATAATTCAATGGAGTAAGATATTTCCAATCTTGATTTTAATTTGATCATCTTGTAGAAGCAATCGAAGACATCAAAGAATGAAAGAAAAACTATAAAGTGTGCACTATATGACATCATGTGTAGATACATATATTAATCTTCTCTTGGATTCCATCATGTGGCTAAAGGATCTAGAAGTTATTCTATTTTGATGCGCTGCTTGAGCTTTCCCATTCCATATAAACCAAGTCAAGGCTACCGTAGTTTGCAACTCTTATGACTTGAAAGTATAGCTTTCGAGCGGGACGGGTAGAAAGCTTGGGATTTATTTGATCGAACACATTCTTATGTGTTACTATTGACATATGGTAGAATTTTTTTTCTAAATGCTCTATAGCAAAAACCTTAAACTTTCCCTCTTTTCACCAAAACACCCAAACACCACCAAACAACCACCACCCCTCTACCTAAACGTTATAATCCTTACCCTACTCTTTCTCACCTAGCCGACCCATCATCATCATCTACCTCAAATATTGGTTAGAAAAACAAACTTTCTTTAAGAGATTCCCTAAGGGATTGATGAAAGGGTGTTGAAGAAGGAATTTTCAAAGTATGGTACAATAGTAAACATTTTTCTAGGGAAGAAAAAAACCAAACTACATAGATGATTTGGATTTCTTCTACTAGAGACATGGTTATAGATGGATGCTCTACTTCTAGGATTGAATGACATCTAGTTTGGTTCTTACAAATTGAGAGTGAATTTGGCAAGGTTTGACAACAAGGTGTATGGAGAACAAGAACGAAGGCAAGTAGTTGCCGATAGTGAAGGGAGAAAGAGGAAATGAAAGGCAAATCAACTATGTCCTATGCCATTAAATTTATGTGATGACAAAAGCTATGCACGGATTGTAAGCCGAAAACCTATACAAAGTCCAAAATTGAACACCGATAAACCTTCTTTAGAATATCATGCTATGGATGAGGATCTAGAATGGTTGGAGAGAAGCTTGGTTGGTAAAGTTTTAGGTGGCATAAACTATATTTCTTTACAGAGTAATTTGGAAAAAACTTGGTTTACAACCAATCAATTTAAGATTTTTTGGTGGCTAACAAGCTCTAATTACTTTTGAATCATTAGAGGATATGCTTATGAGCAATGAAGAATATTGATACCATTGTTGACTTATTTTTTTAGGTGATTAGGCATGCATACCTTCCGATATAGCTTATGATCATTTTTGTTGGGTGGAAATTATTAGATTGCCACTTATGAGATGTAATAAAGTTTATTTTGCTTTAAGTCCGATATTTTTAGAAGAGAAATTGGCTTTGGTGAATTGAAAGAAAAAGTTCTCGATCTTCAAGTCGTTTTGATTCGATAGCTACTTCTTGTTAGTCTAGATTGGATAAAAGTGTTAAATTGGTCATTAATGGCATTCAACACTAAATTACTATTAAAGAACTTGTGCACTCAATTTTTCTAGACTTCACCAATGTCTTGTTCACCATAGAAACTATAATGGACTAGGAGGATAAAAATGATTATATGGCAACTAATATGCAATGAGTTGATGGCATGTCACTAATCATTGGTGATTATGCTTGCTAGGATGGAAGTAGAATCTTGTATGGAAGATTTGGTCGTTGAACAAATTAAAACTTCTTCAATGTTGTTTCTAGAAATTATATAGAGTATTAATAGAGATCAAAATTTGAATTTAAATAGGAAATCTAAGTTTAATGGACATCCAATTTTAAATTCAAATAGGAAGTTTGAGATTAATTATGAAAAAGTAAACTAATATAGGTTTAAGTCTAGTAGATTACAATAATGGATCATTAACATATTATAGTAATGGAAAATTAGGAGCTATGGGTTCAAATGATGGGCTTGCAAATATACATATGAATGAGATGGATAGGGCCAAACTTGTTTAAACTTAGACTTAAGTCGTCAAGATACTTCACTTATAAGTTATAATAGGAAAAAGAAAAGGAAGCCTTGATATGTCTAGCCTATATGTATAGTTACAAGAAAGATGAAGCAAAAGATAAAAAAGATTAATAGTAGTAGAAGCATGAAGGATCATGCATCCTATGAAGGTGTAGAATAAACAAATGCTTTGTTTTTCTCTATCTAAAGTTTCTAAGATCATGCTTGTTGAATTAAGTAATCATACATCAAAATTAATAAGATAATAGTGAATGATTACCTCTTGTAGTGCAGAATTAACCTTTATGAAAAGAAATCGTCAAAGTATCTAGCCTTTACCGATAATCCACACAGCTCAAACACTTCCATAAAAAACTACAAAAATCATCATGTGCTAGCTCTAACTATTCTATATAAGAATTTTCTCTAAAAAAAATCAGTTAGGGTTTTTGCGATCACCTTATAGAGAGAGAGGGTGGCGTGTTTTAGGGAGAAAATGCTTTTTTTTCCTTATTGTCTACGGTCCTTCTCTCCTTCCTATATTTATATGGGTGGAAACTTCTCCTTGTAGGTCAAGAAGATGTTGCTTATGTGGGCTTTGTCTAACCTTATTTTTGTAAATCATGAGCCTTATCCAATAGTATCGAAGTATATCCCTCCATCAAAATATCTTATAGGCTTCTAAATTAAACCCATTAGGTCAAACTCTTTTATCCTAATTAATTATCAATTAATTTAGACCATCTAAATAAATTGGATCAGATATTTTTAAGAGGGCCCACATTAGGAAACATTTTCCTAAGATACCTTTAAACCCGAATTAAGAAATTGATTTTTATTTTATGTAACCGACTTTAATAGTTGGAACTAACTTTCAAATTAGGAAACTAATTTCTGAAATAGGAGATTGATTTCCATTTTAGAAAATTGACGGAAAACATTTTTCAAAATAGAAAAATTTTTAAAATAGGAAACTTTTTCTAACATATGAAAATTTCCAAAATCTTTGCTTTTTTTTTTTTTTTTTTATCATGTGAATGTTTAAACTTATGCATGTGACTCAGTAAGCTCCTAAAAATATTGGTAATGTATTGAGAATAAAAGATACCTTTTTTATCTCTCCATATATAAATTAAGATTGGCCTCTAACAAGATATCATGACTACTCAATTCTTTAGGAGGATTAATTAATCTAAAATTACCTTTCATGAGTATGGTTTCTATATAATTTAGTCTTTAAGTCAATTTATCATAGTGTGATCTTGAACTTAGTTTATAGTCCGTTCGATTATGATGACACAAGTGTTCTTCAATTCCCAAATGTTTAAGCTTTAAAGTAAACTAACTATGCTGTATTGGTATACTCCCACCGTGGCCACAGATTCCTTAAGTAGATATTCATTGAAGTGCAATGTGATAACTCATTTAGTATATAATGAATGACATGTCTTATCTCATTCATACACCTATCTTTATTAGATTCCTACTCGCGCCAAAGAATCACCCATATGAAACTCTTTACTCGAGCCCATCAAAATAAAAATCAAAGTATATGAATCCTCTAATGAGATAACCATAATGACTTTAAGTCAAAGGACTAGTTTTACTCATCTCGTA